CTAAACTGAGAGAGCAAGAGTGAGAGTGAGCAAGCATGAGAGAGAACAAGAACAAGAGAAGGAGGAGGAAAGAAAGAGGGAAAGAGGGCTGGGGATATCACTTAGTGGTAAAGCACTTGCCTATCATGCATGAGGACCTAGATGCAATCTCCAGTTTCTCTCTCTCTCTCTCTCTCTCTCTCTCTCTCTCTCTCTCTCTCTCTCTCTGAGAGAGAGCAAGCAAGCAAGCATTGGGGGTATGTAGAATAATACCGAATAGTCTCATAAATGAATGTAGTCCTGTAGGAGAACTAGAATGAAGTGGGAAAACATTTGAGGAAATAATAGCTGACAACCTTTTTTAAAATTAGACACTAGCCCACAGACCTATGAAGCTCAGTAAACCTACAGTTAAATCCAAAGAAAACCAGACTGGGAACACCACAGTCAAATTGCTAAAAACCACTGGAAAAGAGAGTATCTTGAAAGATCTGTTTAAAAAAGGACATCATATACAGAGGAACAATGATTAAGATAGTATCTGAGGGGCTGGAGAGCTGGTTCAGTGGTTAAGAGCACTCACTGCTCTTGCAGAGGAGCTGGGTTCAATTCCCAGCACCGATATGGCAGCTAACAACCATCTATAACTCCAGAGTGGCTTTTTGTGGTTGTTTTTTGGTCTTTTTGAGACAGGCTCTCCTTGCAGCTCAGCTGGCTGAAACTCACTATGTAGACAAGACTGGCCTTGAAGTCACAGAGATTCACCTGCCTCTGCCTCCCAAGTGCTGAGATAAAAGGCCTGTGCCACTAAGCCCAGCTGTAACTCCAGTTCTATGAGAATCTGATGCCCTCTTCTGACTTCCTCAGGTACTGCATGACATGGGTGCACTTACATACATGTAGATAATACACTCATACACATAAAATAAAAACAGTAAATTTAAAAAATTTAAATGTTAAAAAAGAGATACTATCTGGCTTCTCATCAGGAATAACAGAGGACAAAAGATAAGTCATCAATGTCTTTACAGGTGAAAAAAAAGTAGTTCTGTCAGTGCAAACTTTTATAGCCCACAGAAGTGTTCTTCAAAAATGAAGGTGAAATTAAGACTTGGTAAATGGAGAAAATGAAAGAATCCAGGAGATTGCAATCAAAAGATCCACTGAGAAAAAGCTCATTAGGGTGTTAGTGAGATGGCTCAGCAAATTAAGGGCCTGCTGCCAACCCTGAGGACCTCAGTTCAATCTCTAGCACAGGCATGGTGGAAAGAGAGAACCAACTCCTGAAACTTATCCTCTCACCTCCACACATGTCCTGGCATGTGATGAGAAAACATGTGTATGCACATGCGCGTGTGCGTGCGCACACACACGCACACACACACAATAAATAAATGAATAAATAAATAAAATTAATAATTTTGTGGTCTTTTTGAAACAGGGTCTTCCTGTAGCCCCAGTTGACCTGGAACTCACTATGGAGACAAGGTTGGCCTTCAACTCACAAAGATATGCCTGCCTCTGCCTCTCAAGTGCTGGAATTAGAGGCATGAGCTATGATATCCAGCTCATAATTAATAATTTTTAAAAAGCTCATTAGTATAAAAGAGGTACTGAACTTTACTTCAAAGCTGTAAAAATGACCAGTTTAGATACATTTAAAATAAACTAATTTAAAATCTTTCTACAAGAAAAATTAAGCAGGGCATGACAGCACAAGCCTTTCATCCCTGCACTCAGGAGGCATATGCAGGCAGATCTCTGTGAGATGGAGGCCAGCCTGGTCTATGTAGTGAGTTCCAGGCCAGCTGTAGCTACAGGGAGACCCTGTCTTGTCTCAAAGAAAAGAAAAATTAAGACCATTTAAAGCAAAAATGAAACCTGACACTGCAATTTACCTGCTCCTTAGTGCCTCTAAAGTGAGGTTTTGATGTGCTAATACTTTTCTCTCCAGTTCTCTCACAATCTTGTGTAAGAACAACAACAACAACAACAACAACAACAAAAAACCTATTCAAGAGCTTTTCTCTTGGTGTAACCCTTCCTAGTCAAGAGCCATCCCTTCTTGCTCCATTTAAGTCAATATACAAATCAATAATGGTATTCAGTTCCCAATATTTCAAGGTGTAATGTTACTTATGAAAGGTATTTTTCATGCAATTGTATTTGAATTGTGAATGGACCTCAAAATCAAATAAATAGCTTTCTCTCTTTCTTTCTTTTCTTTCTTTTTTGTTGTACTGGTGATGGATTGAACCTATGGTCTCATATGAATTTTTCATAAAAGGCTAGCAAGCTGGGTGTGGTGGTGTGTGGGAGACAGGCTTGAGCCTAGGGTGAAAGTCTTATTGACAGCCATACAGCAGGCGTGAGGTGACGGCCCGACCACCAGAGCCACAAGGAACGCCTTGTGACATTAGCTCCCATTGGCAGATCATGAGACTGATGCCTAGCGTTTGCCACTCCCCAATCACCACCCTTGGAATTCCAAATTGCAACACTTAGATATTGCAACAGTCAGGGTCACCTGGTTTCCAGGAATCCAGGCTCTGTAATCTGAAACCCATTATGCTAATGAGGCATCCTACCCACTATTCTATGATAGGACGTTAAGTCTGTTATGCTAATAGGTTGCTAAGTCTGTTATGCTAATAAGGTATCCTATTTGCTGTACTGTGATAGGACGCTAAACCAATTATGTTAATGAGGTATCTTACTTGCTGTGCTGTGATTGGACCACTACCCCTATATAAGTTTGTGCCTTCCTGCAATAAAGCAACCTATGTCATGGAATCTGGTCTCCTGTGTCTGAATGCAGCTCCGCTGACAGTCTCCTCACTAGCTGTGGGGTCCGGGACCAGGCAGAAGTGCCTATGACAGGAGGGGTGCTGGAGTTGCAGGCAGTTGTGAGCCATCCAACGTGGGTGCTAGGAACCGAACTTGGATCCTCTGGAATAGCAACAAGCACTCTTAACTGCTGAGCATCTCTCCATCTCTAGTAGAAGTGATTTCTTTTTTTTTTTTAACTTAAAAACAAGTGAATTTTATTTTTCTTTAATAGAACATTACTTGATAACATAAAATACATATTAAATCTATGGAGTACAAAAGTTTAATCTACATCTGTTGGTTGCTGTATAGAATTTCTCACATAAAAAACCAAAATAAAAATCTCTGAACTCAAAATTTCAACATGAATGAATCCAAAACAGCTCTAAATCTAAAGCAGCATCAGTATAGTAAATACTATTTTGATAGGTCACAGAAACAAGGTTCTGCCTCAGTCTGAATTGCTGCTACCCAAACCAATGACTAATGTTTATTCTGAAAGATGCTACTACACGTGCTGTAGGCTCAAATATTATAATGGTTACCTAAAATTAAATTGATAAAATGAAGAGAAAATAGGTTGCATTGGAATCCGTGGACAGTTTTATAATATTTATGGGAAACAATTTTTCACAAACCTAGAAGGTCCTTGCTTTACTATCAACCAGGACCTTTAAAATGATCACTTTAAGTTCTCAACTGCTGAATAGCCCAAAACCAAAGATTCAAATAATTTCAAAGGATCACTGATGCTGATGTTCATGTGTCAGTACTTTAATATTGTGCCCATCAACTATAACAAAGACAACTACAAGATGCACTTCTATCCATGAACACATGCTGCATTACAGGAAACCGAGTTTGCATTCCATCAAGTGTGGTTCACTTTGTGATGGATCATGAAGAGGATCTTCAAATCCAATGGTCTCATCACTCCCCTTCAAAATATCCAGTGAGACGTTTGAGCTTGAGAGAAATGGAAAATGACTTTTTTCTTTTCTTTTTGATAATTCAAGAGGATGACTAGGCAAAAGTTCATTTTTTATACAAGAAAACCCTTTCCAAAGAAGATAATGACTTTCAAAAGGCCCAGTTGCTGAAAGTTCAGTAACTGGAATGTTGTCTTGTAGCTGTGATCCAAGTCCTCTGGAATTCATCTTCACCCTGCTCCTTGGACAGCCTTTCAACCAGCTACTGTCAGTTGGCCACAACTCTCACTTCCTAGTAGAAATGATTTCTGAAAAGAATTACAAGTCAAAAAATATATCTGGGGCAGTGTCAGTATCCTTTCTTGACCTTATTTTGCTCTTTGGCCTCACTGAGTGGTTGTCCATGTTGAAATTTTTCCTGGTTTGTTGCTAGGATATGCTTTTGTTCTGGTTCTCTTGCTTCTAAGCTGTCCCATTGCTTTCTCACAGCCTTTTCTGATCCCTGTATAAATGCCCTCTTCCTCCTCCTTCGGCCAGACCATACTCTTATACACTCTCCTCATCCCCACTCCCATGCCGTGATTTCCCCACAAGTGAACAGTCTCTTCACTCTATTAAGGCTCTGCTCTCACAGACCATGCCAGGTGGCTACTGTTCATGGATGCCCTTGTCCCCCTTCTTGGGCTCTTAGATCCCCTGTGCTGGGTTGACCTGTGTCTACCTGTCTTACCTCATTAGGACTCTGAATCGCCAAGCTCTTTACTTTTTTGAGCATCAATATTTCATGAAGGGAGATGTCTTATGAAAACCCAACTTGCTCTGTTCCCAATGGCTCTAGGATTGAAATGTTCAGGAAGGGGAAAGAAAAAGAGAAAAACATGAAAGTATTTTAATTGATTTTAAAATATGTGCATTTGATCCACAACTTACTTTATGATTACATTCTGACTTGGCTATTTTTGATAGATACCAACAGACCCAAAAAGTTTTGAGTAGCTTATTATTTGTCTCCAATAGAAATACTATGATAATCATAGTAATTTTTCATATGTATGGGTTTGTTTTTATGTTTTCTTGACTATTGATATATACACATTTTGGTTTTTTTCTTGTTAGCTTTAAGGAGAAATGCATCTTTTTGTCTGTGTATATGCAGACACATGTATGTGGGTGAATTTGCACGTTTGTGCATGTGTATGGAGGCCAGAGGTTGACATCAGATTTTTCCTCAATTACTTTTCCATTACATAAATATATATATTTTCTTGTCACGACACTGATTGAAGGAAAACGACACAAGTTGATACTTCACCTAAAAGCAGTACTTTTACTCTGCCCCTTCTTGACAGCTCACTGGGTCACTAGCAAAAGGCCCATCTAATATTTTGAGACAAGGACTCAGAGCTCAATGATTGGCTAGGTTGGCTGACCAGCAAATCTGAGGCATCCTCCTGCCTCCCATTACTGGGATTATAAGCATATACCACTGTATCCAGCTTTTTAGGTCTTCATGCTTGCATGGGAAGCACTTACAAAGCCACCTCCCCAGTTCAAGACCTGTATCTTTAGCCAGGCGTGATGGCACACTCCTTTAATCCCAGCACTTGGGAGGCAGAGGCAGGTGGATCTCTGTGAGTTCAATACCAGCCTGGTCTACATAGCAATCCAGGCCAGAGCTGGGACTACAGGGAGACCCTGTCAAAAAGAATTTTTTTTTATTTTTACAAAAAAGACACAAAAAGTTCCAAAGGGAGACTCTTTAAGACCCAGGAAGTAGGGCCTGGAGAGATGGCTCAGCAGTTAAGAGCACTGACTGCTCTTGCAGA